CATGAAAATATGGAAATATGGACGTATTTAAATAAATGAAAAAACGAAGTGAAGCAAAGTGCGTAAAAAATGGGGCTTTTAAATAATTTGAAATTCCATGCGGATAACGAACCCAAACATACTTCCTACGTAACGAAGAGTTGGTTACTCTATAATTGTCCAAAAGTGATACAAACTCCGTCACAATCACCAGACATCAATGTTACAGAACACGTGTGGCATGAACTAGAAAGAAAAGTTAGATTACGCTGCGTTTCTAATAAACAACAATTGGGGACTGCGTTGCAAGAAGAGTGGGCAAACATTTCGAAAGAATTTTCCGAAGAATTGGTGCAATCGGTCGAAAATAATCGTGGATATCTCACAAAATATTGAAAAGCATTTTTTCTTTTTTTTTTTATTAACCCTTCGCGAACTAGGTGGGGTATGATATACCACAGGCGGATTTGAATGCTTATAACTGCTTAGTTATCACTTTGTGTGAACTGACATTCCATACATGTAGCTGGAATTCCGGCGTTGTCGAACCACGCAGCGAAAAAAGTTTAGTGCTATGCGCGTTACCGCAGCGATTACACGTGCGTGAAGTCCGTTTGGGGATCTCGTACCCCACGTAGTTCTGCACGTAGTAATAAAGGTAATATAGCCTTTTATTGTTTTCGTGCTATTTTCTTTTACTTTCTTCGTTATTTTCACTAGTGCTGTTATAATTTTAGATATTTATACTGTATAACGTCCTCTCGACTTATAACGAGTGACGAAATATCGGATGCGCTTTTGCAAGAATGCGACGATTCTTCCGAAGATGTCTTCCTTCCTGACAGTGATGCAGAATCTGATAATATGTATTAGTGTTTTTGTTTTTTGATATCAAAAGTTTATTACTTGAAATTTTCGTTTTATTTCTATACCTCTCTAACAGTAGAACGATAATATTGCTATTATTAATACACTTTTTATTAAAAAGAACAGTAAACGCGAAATACCATATGGGGTATGACGTATCCCACGTGGTTCGCCTTGTTGATTTTTTTCACCTCGTTCGCGGAGGGTTAGCGGTATTAACATTTTCTGTACGTTGTTACCGAATATACTTAACTTTCTTATTACGAACAAGGTTCTTTATTCGCAAGCATTATATATTTAATAAAGTTAGTGAACTTATTTTTTAAAGAAACTTCATCTTGAATCCGTAGCAACAATATTGATAAGCGTTGTGGTGTACAATTTTGAACGACACTCACTGTATGTACACGTACTTAAAAACTAAATGATTAAAATTTCTAGATAAGCATAAGACAGCGTGGATAAGCTAGAGACAGCATAATTTCAGTTACATGTGAACACAGTTCGGAATAAATTACATCGACGCTTCAAAGTTATTTAAGGTCATCATTTTGCTATCTTTTATCTAATCAATATTACAAACGAAAAAAGGTATTTATGCAGAAAAGGGGGCTCCTCGCCGATTTCAATTTTTGTACTCCTCTTCATTCTAATGAGTCAAATTTTTACCTTCCAAAAAAATTAGCATAACGTATACTTATGAATTATAAGTTATGACACATACGAGTCGTTCGATGACTTTATTAACATCACTTTTATCAAACTTGATCAAAAGCGAAGAAATGCTTGATTGTTGGGTAAAAATCAGAACAAAAATGTGTGCTTGTTATCTGCCGAATTTTCTCGCTCGTGGCTCGCGATTAGAACTCTACTTTACCGATAATCAAAATTGTTTAGCTGAAAATAATCGCATTGTTTACACATAAGTGAGGTTTCTTCTTTTAATAATCTTGCCTTAAAACAGAAATTATTGGCGATAATTGGAACGAAATGAAAAATTATAAGATTCTCGTGCGAAAAGAACGTTTTTGTGTATAAAACAATAGATTTTAGTAAATAATGATAATCTATTTATTAAATTCAGTAAATTCTCAAAATGAAAACTATTTCGCTGTATCCAATATCGAGTGAATCACTGTTTTCAGTATTTTCTTAGGAGTACACTAGCCAATAGATATGTAGGGAAGATCAGGGCTAAAAGTTACGGAGGTAAGTTGCTTCGATGGTTGTATCTTTAAAATATAAGAGATAGGGTTGTGCCCTCAATTGTTTTCGCCGTGTGAGTCGATCGCGGCACTCTGTCATACATTTTAATAGCGTCAGCGACAGCGAATCTTGTGGTTGTAAGCAAGCACCTATTTAGTCACGTATCAGAAAAGTAAATATTTTTCGATCGTTACTTTTTGGTCTGTTTCGATTGTTTAACGTCGAAATTATTAATTGTTTCGACCTTATAGATCAAGTGACATTTAAGAACACGTTGCAATAGTTTTGATTAGACAATTTCAATGAATAAGCGGAATATTCACATAAATTGCCACGTGTATCGATGGGGGCTAGTTGTTCCCGTGACTTGGGGCAGGTTGCAATAGAGTATTTTGCCGGACAGGCAAATATCTCAATAAGTACACATTTCAGACATATTACACCTTAATATTTATTTACTCAGCTTTTAACGTTGTCTTAATTTCCGGAAAGAAATACAGGGTGTTCCATTTAAAAACCTCATGGTAACCTTCAAAACTTTATGAATAAAAACAATTATTGTAACATATGTCCCCCTTGAAATCGTGCAACTTTTGCTTCAAACACTATTTCCTACAGCGAATACTTCACGGGCAATTTCAGGTCGCCAGGTTAGGCGAATCACCCTGTATTGTTTTAGATTTCCTATAAAAATAATACTTATATTTTTGTCGATCTGAACCTTAGCAAATAAACATTATTAATAAAATTGTATTTCGTTCCATTAGAAAATGAAATGTTTCATTAAAAGGCAACTCTTGTTTCTTAGAAACAACTTACCTTAATACGGTAACAACTTGCTCCACGAAGGGGTAAGAAGTTCCGCTTCGATCAGTTACAAATAAATGATTCCCTATGAAAAATCAATTACAATATATTAAATATAAGCTTAAAATCCTAAAGTACGATAAATTTAACAATAAATTAGTTAATAGTGAAGGGAATAACTGCATTATCTTTCGGTCATTTCTTGTGTTTTCTCAAAATCAGAACGTTTAGCCCCGGTCTCCCAAATACTGCTTCTTCACTTCCAAAAATGATATTGCCATGTTTTAGAAATAACGCGTTAACGAACATACGTTCATTATATGAACATAATAAATAAACAAACAATATAAATAGCCATCTTAACCAGTTCTTCATTCTCTTGAAGTTTGTTCGTTAAAACCTGGAATATTCTGTATAAAAATATTTAGAACGTTGTATAATAATAATTAGACTGTTGCTTTCCCATTGTTTTGACTCAAACTTGGGAATTTAAAAAATTCCCAAAAATCGCTTTAAAATATAAAGTAGACTACAGAAACACATCAATGAACATGATATTTCTTATCTTGTTACAGACTGTAGCCGCATCGCAACCTAAAGCGATAAAAATGGTAGGTTCTCCGATGCTGGAGAACGAGGACAGAGTCGACGTTCTTGACGAACCACTCTTCAGCAACCTTGATATTGTACTTCTCAGTGCTCTCTTATTGGCCGCACTATGGTGGTTGATGCGCCGTAATAAACAAGAAGAGTATACGCCCGTCACAAAATCCTACTCCATTCAGTAATTATTGTGTTTGAATAAGTTATTCGCAATGCTTAATTAAATAAGAAAATTTTAGTACTCATAACGAAACTTTTTGTACAATGAAGATCTCTAATGGTCATGAAAAATTTCTTGTTAAAGGCCAACGCTGTTTCCAGCAGTACAGCCATCCGAAAATTCGTTTATCAAAAAACTGAAGACCTCCGGAAGAAGTTTGGTGGTGTTTTATGGTAGCCAGACCGGAACTGCTGAAGAATTCGCCGGTAGGCTGGCCAAAGAAGGTATTCGGTACAAAATGAAAGGCATGGTGGCTGATCCAGAAGAATGTGATATGGTATACATTCATTTATATAAAGAACAGTTTAGCCATTTTAATATTTGCAACATTAGGTCAAAATTGATCTTATTAACTCTATCCGCTTGGAATGCCAGTTGTGTTAGTACATATAAGCATTCATTACGGCAACTCACACATTAAAAAATTATAAAATGTGGAATTTGATAAATTTTGCAAATAAATTGATGTATAAATGATAAAATATAATGTTTAATTCTCTCAACAAAAAAGTGATAGTAAAATTTTCGTGATAAATTATGTTTATAATTATCAAGTTGCAGAAAGAAAATGTTGAAATATTACTCAACTGCAAAGGGTTAATATTAACAATATTGCACATTGAAAGATAATCATACTAGTTAAACTAAATTATGTTTTAAATTAAGTAAAACTGATACTTCCTTATGTTGTTAAATTATATGTCGTAATCCTAAATAATTATAATTTATTATAACAGGAAGAGTTAATTCATCTAAAAACAATTCCAAACAGTTTAGCAGTATTCTGTTTAGCTACATACGGAGAAGGTGACCCAACAGATAATGCTATGGAATTTGTTGATTGGCTGAAAAATGGTGATGCTGACTTAAATGGATTGAATTATGCTGTAAGTATGAGTTGCATTTTTTAATTTATAGCTATAAGATATGGAAAATCTAAAAATTATTGTAGAAATAAAAAATTCACATTATGCAAGAGTCTTACAGAAACAAATTTTTATTTCTTAATAATACTTTGTTATACAATGTGTATTAAAGTCATATAACAAAAAACATAGGAAAATGTTTTATTTTGTCAGATTTCTGATATAATG